ATTTTTGGGTGGGCCACGGTAATTTTGGATGGACCTTAATAAGCAGTGACTTAAGTGAAGCAGGCAGGTCGTGCTAGAAAATTTCGTTTAAAAAGACGTCATAAATGTGTTCCCCGTCATTTTTATTTCTAAATTATGAAGTAAAAACTCCCAATTTAATTTTCATTCATTTTTCATTTATAGGCACCAGAACCTGCACCTCTAATATTTACCTCTCAACATAGGACTCTTTCATAAGGGTACATGCACACCAGTAGTTTTTACGGTTATTCATGGGGCAAAATCTGCGACATTTAAAATAAAATAAAAAATCCATCTTCCAGTAAAAGCAAAGCATCCAGCTCACCTCTCCAAATGCGTAAAATGTGCGTCACGGTCGCTAGGCGCGCCGCGCCGCGCGCTCCATCAGCTACGTCAGCCAGGACAAGAGCAGAGCAAATAGAATAGAGGATAATTCTGTCTGGATGTGGATGGAGATTACATTTTACAGCAGCCTGATCATTTAAATACGTAAACCATCACCTGTCTTCTAGTCCACGCTATTAGCATTATTGTAATTGGTGTGTGTGTGTGTGTGTGTGTGTGTGTGTGTGTGTGTGTGTGTGTGTGTGTGTGTGTGTGTGTGTGTGTTTTCCTCTTCAAACACTGGTTTAACCAACCAGACCAGCGTGTCCAGTAGGGCTGCTCGATTATGGCAAAAATAATAATCACGATTATGGTGACTGAAATTGAGATCACGATTATTTAGGACGATTTTTCAATTTATGTTGATTTTATTTGTTTTTATTCAGTCATAAAACTGCTCAGGGCACAATCAGGACAAAAATAAGAAACAAGATGATCACTAAAAGAACTCCTGATTCCCAGGATAAAAGGACCAATATACTTATAGCTCATAGTCTATGACCCAAGGGCTATAGACCTTGGTTTAACTCATGTAAGTCTAACCAGTACAGACCCAAATACCAATATCTTGCAAATACTGACAGCAAGAATTATAGAGTGGCATTTATAACAAATAAATGCAAATAAACTGATGTTCACAAAATGTTACATAACATTTATTGAGTCGTGTCAAGGTGCTGTAGCACTGTGTCCTCAGAGAGATTAGTTATCAGCGTGAGGAACTTATTTCTACCTTATTTATAAACTATTTATTTACAGGCCCATCAGTTAATGTAATAATTGTCCCGACCACAGCTGCACCCCCCACCCCCCCCACCCCGGTCTCACACAATCGGGCAAGCTGCACGTGTGTTTAGCACGCCGCACGCGCACATTTAGCTGTTTTTAGCTGCTCAGGAGACCGCAGGTGCGGTGTGTGTGTCACTCACTCTGGTTAATCCAACAAGGAGCCGGCTCCGAGAGCTGTCTTTAGCGACCGACACATCACTGCATCATTCCCTTTCCTAATGTTGTGAAGAACGGTCCGGAGCGCAGGCGGAGTGTTTAGCTAACCTGCAGGAAATGTCGACGACAGTTATCCAGAAAGTAGCTAAGGGTTACCAGAGATGTTTCTTAGATGTTCGCTAGGTACTTTTAGGATTAAAAAGTCAAGAAGGGGGTCTGAAAAGCTGCTAGAAATAGCGTCAAAGTCGCTAAGTTGGCAACACTGTGAGGAGCGCTTCATTTGCAACTTAGGGCAGCGCAAGCGGGAGGAGCAAATAATCGGCTTGTTATGTTTTTTATAATCGTTCAAAACTCAGATCGTAATCGTGATTAAAATTCGATTAATTGAGCAGCCCTAGTGTCCAGTAACATATTAATGTTACAATTAAACAATTTCACTCCATGTAGGCTAGGAACATTTCACCTGCTGTGACCCGACCGCTTCTGCTCCACATAAACTTTGTGCGTGATTAAATGTCTCTTCATGTGCTTTCTGAGCTGAAGAGGCTATTCTGCCTCAGACTGGATGCATCATGCATCTCCATATTAGAGACAGGAACAAGCACTATTCAGCCAAAGTGTCATAATCAGTGAACATTTTTCCAAGTGACACATCTCTCAGAGAGACCGGGTTTCCAGACCGCTTCAGTGGGAGGAAATCTTACCGCATGCGCCGTGGTTCTGCGCTGCGCTGCGAACCCCTCAGATCTTCAGCTCACTGTCCACTGTGTGCGCTCCGAGCCGCGCTGAGCACAGTGTCCAGTATAAAGCTCTGATGTTCTGATGGGAATCATTTCTTAATTGATTTAGTTACCTCTGCGATGTGTGTTAACGATTAAAATGTCAGCTCATCTGTGTGCGCATCAGTGTGCGTCGGGGTAATTCTTTCAAAACAACCAGCATCCTTGAGTTTATCCGTCAAAATAAACAGTCATATGGAAATATCTGTAACCTGCCATTTAACTGTTTTACCTTCCTGTGAAGATTGTTGCAAAGAGAAACAACTAAACTTGATTAACCCCAGAGCCATGCGCACTGCGCTGTACTTCTGAGGGGGAAATGATTTAATCGGATCCTTTTCTTTTCAACATGGTTTAATGTGAAGTTTCATTCAGTACAAACTTTAGTTACACCAATCTAACGAGACAGAGCCTGGATTTGTATTCTGAACTGTTTAAACATGTTTAAAACGGAGACATGCGTGACACGTCTGAAATTCGCACCTGCTCTGCTATTATGGAAATAAAACTAACAAGATGAATAACATCAAATTATTTTAGGCACAGACAACATCCCCCACACTTTAAAAAATCTTGCAACGCGCCTGAGTCATTGTAGCTTTGGAAAAAGTTTCTCTCTCTGGGTCTCAGGACCGATGACTAAAACTTCGGTTTTGTCCCGGTTAAGCTGGAGAAAGTTTTCTGACATCCAGGATTCAATATCCGAAATACAATTAAAAGGGGCATCCATTGGTCTTGCGTCATCGGGAGACACAGAGATGTACAACTGTGTATCATCTGCATAACTGTGAAATTGCACTCTGTGTCGCCCGATGACGCCACCAAGTGGAAGCATATACAGATTAAAAAGCACTGGGCCTAAAATCAAACCCTGGGGCACACCACAAGTAATCTCACAGGTCTTAGAACAGAAGGTATCTAGACTTACCATAAAAGTCCTGTCTGTGAGATACGAAGTAAACCATTTATGGACAGCGCCGAAGTGTTTTAACCGGTTTAAAAGAATGTTGTGATCCACTGTGTCAAAGGCAGCGCTTAAATCCAGTAGAACCAGAACCGTCACTTTCTGTGCATCATAATTTATTCTCACGTCATAATATCACTAGCAGAAGGGAACCTCTGGTGCAGGTCCAGCAGAAATATTCTAACAGTTGTAAAATGTTGGAGTTTTGAGCTATTTTAAGATGGCTGACAGCAGCAAGACACTTTTTTGTCTTACAACCCACATGTGGTGATAAAAAAATAATCATGGATACACTATTTTTGTTATCACTGTTTGTAGTGTCCTGCAACAACGACATAAACTATGCATGCACGTTCACTCATAGACTTTATCCAGTCAGACAGGAAATCTTGCCAGATCAAGAAGGATTTCAGAGTAAAAAAACATGGCGGAGGAGGAGCGTGCAGCGCTCTTGTGTCACTATGTTTATGTTTATTCATTTAGCTGACGCTTTTTATCCAAAGCGACTTACAATTTATAAGCATGTTGTGATCTGTGGGGGAAACCGGAGTACCCGGAGGAAACCCACGCATGCATGGGGAGAACACGCAACTCCACGCAGAAAGGCCGCAGCCGAGCCGAGTTTCAAAACTGCAACCTTTGTGCTGGGAGGCAACAGTGCTAACCACTGCGCCACCATGCAGTCACTTCTTTTTGATTGGCTAAACTTTACATTGAACAGGCCGCACATTTGTTTGTCCTCATAAATGTGTCTAAGACAATCCAACATGTTTGAAAGCCTGACTTATGGTCTGAGCAGTCCTGACGTGCTTCAGAACAAACCCAAGCGCTCTTAACACACCACACACGTCAGGTATATCTGATAAGATAATCTTTACAGCTGTTACAGTAATTAATCACATCCTCAGGCTTGTCAGGAGAGGATTGGCTTAAAATTGGCACAGTTATCCACCGTGTGATCCAGGCTTTTGTCCTGGTTGATGTAAAAGGCTTTTCTCTTAACTGAGCCTGTTCAGGAATCAGGAACAAACGTATTTGTAATTCATTTCAACTTTAACACAGAAACACACCTATAAAGTCCTTTAAATATCAAAGTACTGGTCAAAACATGAGATTTCTTTTTTTGATAGAAACAGAAAACTTCACATTAAACCTGCTTCACATAAAACACAGAAAACAAGACCGGTCTTGTTAGTTCACAGACAAAAAATTCTGTGTTGTTAAAAAACAGGAAAGTCTTATTTTAGTCTGGGGGTTACATTGAGACATAGACTCCCTGAGGCGAAGACCTTCACCCATGATCTCAGAGCTGCATCTCTCCCGCTCACACTCGCTATCTGTGTGTGTGTGTGTGTGTGTGTGTGTGTGTGTGTGTGTGTGTGTGTGTGTGTGTGTGTGTGTGTGTGTGTGTGTGCTCTTTTTCTCCACTGCTTAGTCTTAAACAAGATGTTCTGAGCCACAGTAAAGCTCATTCCCTCACCAGCCTCCACTTCCAATGGCACCCCAGGCTCTATTAAAACACTGAGGTGGAAGAAGACATTGGCAGGCTGAATACTGACAGGGAGCAAGGTTGCTAACAGCTGGGAGGATTGATTAATTAAAAAAAGATGCTCATAACAGTGCCTCGACCTTGCTGATGAGATCTAACTTTTTAATGTTTCTCTTGTTAAACAGGAACAATTGATTCTTTGATCAGACCTCTCTTTTTTAACTCCTCAGTGTTTCAACAAGCTTGCTTGGCGTTTTTAGCTGGAGGCAGAGTTCAGAGGGGGTCACTTTTACCTCTTTATTGCATCCTGATAAGTTTATAATGTCACAACGGCATCCTTCTCAGTATCAGCACCAAAGAAGGAGCAACTGTGTCAGATGTGACCTCACTAACACAGATACCATTTATCTTGTTGCAGAGAGGATCTGGAGAACTTGGTGTCCAGTGGCACCCTGACCCACCTCAAAGTGTGCTTCTCCAGGGACCATCAAGAGGATGAGGATGCCGTCGCCCCGGCAACACAACCCAGATACGTCCAACACAACCTGCTGCTCAACTCCCAGAAAGTTACGGACGTCCTGTTCAGACAGAACGGCTCTATCTACGTCTGCGGGTATTTGTTTCTTGATCTCCTTTCCTCTTTTGTCTTTAGATTTCTTTTTCGCCATCTTTCTTTTTTTAGGGGGTGCAGATCAAATTTTCCTCATCAAGCACAGTATCGACCCGACCATGAACTTGGATACATCTTGTATTTAAAGTCACATTAATCAAAGGATTTGTTCATAAAAATCAGCTTTTAAATAATCGATCCACAGGCCGTGCACACAGCCGACACAGTGACATTAAAATATAAATCAATACACACGTGTCCGATCAGCTCCGTTTCTGAGGGGAATTAAAGAAACAGTTCTAGTCTACGTGAAATATTGTGTTTTGAGTGTAGCTTCTGATCATATGTTTTCCAAACCTGCTAACAGAATCGATCCTTTGTGTATTTTTCTGTATCCTGATGTAATCCCTGACTGACTGCATGATGCTGAGAGTCGGTGCTCTGCTGTAACCTCGCCATCTGCTCTTCTCCATAAATATGCATTTCTTAGTGACTCTGGCTCTATCCATACATACAACAATAAATGAACACTTTATATCTGCGTTTAAGTTTCAACGAAAATACTCACAATAAACCTAACTCTGTCCACATTTAACTTCATTAGAACTCGGTCCTCATCAGGATTAAGGATTTTTTGTGTCACACCAGTAAATTAAACTATCTGCGTAGACATTTATAACTCGTAGTGGCTGGCTGTTTAAAGCCCTGCCCCTTCATGGTAACAAAGAGGACATTTTCCTGATAGAAAAATTACAAATCAGATATTAGTGGTAGAGTGTCCGCCCTGGGACTGGGAGATCGGGGTTCAAAACCAGTCGGGTCATAACAAAGACCTTAAAAATGGGACTCAGTGCCTCCCTGCTAAGGGGCTGGATTGGGGGGATTAAACCACCAAATAGTTCCCGAGCGCAGCCCCAGCTGCAGCTCACCACTCCCCACGGGGATGGGTCAAATGTGGAGATGTAGGGCTGCACAATATATCGTAAAATTATCGTCATCGCGATAACAGGACGTGTGATAGGCCCATCGCAAAACACGGCAAAAACAGCGATAAATGTTTGGTTCAAACATTTCCATCCGTGTCATACATCAGCTTTTTGTAAACCAGCTCTGTTTTTTACGCGGAAGTATTATTTGACCAATCAAATGTAGCCCTTCTGATATGCGGCCAATCAGATGGGTCCGTTCACGTAATACGCCCGCCCCCTACGTAGACCCTTTTGGAAAGCAACACCCGAACAGAGTTTGCGGCGCCGTTCCCTTGTTCGTCATGCTGGCTCAGAGCAACGGACGCACTTTGGGCTGAGGTTTCTGGAATCAGCGCTGCTTTCAAACGTGAACGTGAGTCCGCTCGGTGTCGTTAAGCATTTTTACCGGGCTGACTCCGACATGTGCCGGTGAACCAACCCACCTTCATGTCGCTAGTGTTAGCCCCAGGCTCCGGTTAGCTTCCAGCTAAAAGGCTACAGCTCTCTCCTCCCAGTCCCACCCTGCTAAAGAGGGCCTGGAAAAGTTCCCCCACACATCAGTGATTTTTCATTTCAGAGCTTTTATAACCTTGTTTGTCAGGATAGTTGATTTGCTGCTGCACATAAACTGTCAGTCCGAAGCTCTGCTAGCCGGTTATCTTAGTTCAATTTGTTAGCTTGTTATCAGAATCATAGTTGCAGTTTCATCAACTGAGCTGCTTTTTAAGATCTAGGTAAACTTGTTCAATTTGGGGTTAAAAACAAACGTTTTCACATATTTTCCATGTAGTTTTTTTTGCCAGTTCCTCTTCTGAAAGGTAGACAATTGTTTTTCTCTTAATCCCTCAAAAAATCTTAATATTCTCCTAGTTTGGCCCAGCACAGTTCACTTCCCAATAGCAGCAACAGCCTTATATCATAACCACATAAGTGGAGAAAATGTTCAGTAGCAATGAGAGAATTAGCTGTTGCATTTAAGTGATGTTAACTTTTATTTAACATTTAAAGTAATTTTCTGATTTTTTTATTTATTCAAAAACCCTGGTAAGGGATGTTTTTCTGTATTTGGAGCATCAAAAAAAGTTTTATGGTGGTGGAGGTGATGTTTTAAAGTCACTGAGAAACTGCATGCATGCAGTTTGTTGTTTTGCTGCTAATACAGTAGCAGATGCAGCTGCATATTTTTTCAATAAAAATGTTATGCTGTAATGGAATTCATGCATTAGTTTTTGTTTGATTTGAACCCAGAGCAGACGTCACACGCCAGACGACATCAACATGGCATACTTTAGTATTTGTTCATTTATCACGAGTAATATCGATATCGCAATATTAAGCACTGTTATCGAATATCGCAGGTTTTCCTAATATCGTGCAGCCCTATGGAGATGTAATTTCACCAGTGTGTGATGATGACTAATGGGACTTTACCAATCCATACCACTTTATTTATATAGCACATTTATAAAATAAGACAGAAAAATCAATGAAAGTAAAACCATCAATGCAAAACAGTCAAATCAAATAGAAGCAATAAAAACAAAAAAACAAAACAATAAATGAGTCACTGGCTAAAGGCCAAGCCATAAAAGTACGTTTGAGAGATATCTTATTTGTTTCCAGTGTTTGACTACTTTTGATTCACCGAAGTCTTGTCAAGTCCATGTTGCTGTAAATACATGTATTCATGTTTCTAATATGTTTAGCTGTAATTAGATACTTGATGCTTAAAAACACCCTGTAGGAGCGTTGCTCTGGGGCCCCATCTATCAAGCTTGCTTACGCACAAAACTGAAAAATGTGCACAACTTTAAGTTGACTAAGGACCTGGCTTACGCACATATTGGACATGGAGAGCACCTGCAGTGCTGCTGCTGAGAAGGATAAAATTATGAAATCCTGCAGCATTATCACTTTTACTGCTTCGTTTTCACACAGAACAAGACCCCCCACATACGCACACACACGCGCGCGTGCGCACACACAGCCTGAAGCGCAGAATACGGAATGCAGAATATCAGCAGGGGGACAGATTAAGACAGAATGTCATGCGTCTGTGACAGTGTGTGTCCTGTCACTGTGACCCGATTGATCATGTGCCCTGGCTACTTGGACAAGGGAGATCCCCATTTGGCTGACTGGTTAGTGCGCGTGACTTTCACCCGGGAGTCTGGGGATCGAATCCTGATCGGATCATTTTTTTATATCTGCCACAGATCTCTCTGAAGAATTCACAACATTGACGGTGTAGAGAATTAAACTACAGACTAGAATCAGCACTGTTTGCTATCAGTTGTTAGATTCTGAAAGATGACCAATGAGATTAACGTATGAGGCTTAGATCATGTATAAATATCCTGGATACTTATATATCGATCTAAGTTCATACACCAACCTGTTTGGTCTAATTTTAATCCAAAGATTAATGTTTAATTTAGATAATTAAATTTAATAGCAAAAGTTATTTTGAATCAGAAGCTAGGAATCTTTGCTTTCAAATAACCAGAAATATTGTACCTTTTCTGTGTTTCGTTTCAATAATGAGACAAGTTTAAAAATGAAGGAATTTATCACTAACAATTTTAAACTTAAATATTTGAAACGATAATTATAAACGACAATTCATGGATGACAACTTAATGGCAATTTTTAACAACTTTGATATTAAACTTGTTTTAAAAGCAAACCTGTGGCTGGATGGAAGCTAAATTGAGAATACGAGTTTGGATGTGTGAATGGAATTATCAGGAGGTTTCTTTCAGAGAGAGAAGAAGCATTCTGGATGGAAATGATGTTTTGTGGCTAACTCAGTTATTTAGAGAGAACAGCATCAAATGTCATCTGTCGATTAGTGTCTACCTCACCCAGTTTCCGGAGACCCCCTTTCGGATCCGAGATATCAGGTGGAGATGATTTCCTCCGGGCACGAGGATGGTAGAAGGACCTCTATGCGACCAAATCAGTCCTGGGTTGTCTCCGTGGGTCACACGACTGATGAACTATTGGCGTCTCAAAGTCTGTAACTCTGAAGGAGTTTTTCGTCTTAACTTAACTCAGAAATCAACAACTCTGGGTAGAGTCTTCGTTAGCTGGTTACAGTTTCGTTTATTCTTAGCTTTTCTTGTCGGCTTGACAGAAACAGCAGGTGGAGGTTTAGGGACGGCCGTTCCCTTCCTCCGTGATGTTGGTTCAAGAACTGACTTGAAGCTGGTGATGGTTACAGTTTTACCAAGCTCTCAGAACACACCCACTCCCTCAGGAAGAAAGCTTTGATCATGCGTCAAAAACATGTGTTGCAGTTATCGTTTATCTGGACTCTGTTAGATGGATAAGGTGAACTGACCTTTACTGAACACCTCTTTTACTGTCATCAACCATAATCATAATTAATCATTATTATCCCCAAAGCATAATAATTCATTTCATGTAATTAAAATACCATTATATTGAACCAAGTGATCATTTATGATGATTATATTAAACAGTAATAAAATCAATGAGTTTTATTAATTATTATCTAATTATTATCATCGTGACTTGGTGTCCTCCTCCTGGGATGGAACAGCAGCGGATATGGATATGATCTTGAGCAGACATCGTGGCTCCTGGTTAATCTGTGGATTTAAAAGTACTGTTTCACCCAGCTTGACCCAGCTGGGTAGATGTGACATTTGCCACAAATTAGAGAACCTTCATCACGTTACAACGGCTTCAGCAACGCTGTGCCACTCCGTGGATTTTCTCTTTGTTTTGCAAAAGCACTTCCTTTCATTTCTCCACCTCACCCACAAGTACCTGAATTTCTGCTTGTGAAGTAGCGCTTCCTTGATCTGTGGTCGTGGTCGTGATCAAAATGCTGCAACAAGCCTGCTTATGTATATGCATGAGGTCCACAAGGCACTTTGCATCGACCATTTATGGCAGAAAGTGGGCGTGGTGAGGGCGGGATGTGACTAAAAAGCAGCTGAGAAACTTTCTAGTTAATTTCTGATTTATGAAGTGGAGATTGCGTGCAGCTGTGCGTACTCCATGTTT